ATACTATCACCATTCCTGGGCCCCCCTCAAACAATTTTAATTCAGGATCTAAAAATTGTTTGGGGGGGAGGGGGGGGGACTACCCACTAAAGCGAGTCCAACATTAAGGTGCAGGATTTCAAGTACTTTCAGCCTATGTGGCTGGATCATATGCCAGCCACTCGCGCTCGTTTGTCTACATGTCTCTGTGTGACACGAAGACTCCAGGCTTTTCCCCGCCACAAACAATTCTGACGAGCACCTGAAACCGTACTCTCAGGCAGCATGTGTTTCAGACCTCTAGAGGTCTTACCTCTTACACCCTGCGCAGGAATCCTGCCTTTATACGCCCTTTTTCCAAGTACCAGCTTTTGTATCATGTTCGGATCTGTTTGAAACTCTTCCCTAAGCTGAACCGTGTTCCTAAGTATAGGCAAAGACAACCTGAGAACGCAGATCCCCGCTGATTTCAAAGGTAGGATGATCAACACGTGGGTCGCGAAACTCATGTTTGGCAACCCTCCCTGCGAGTTTCTGCTCATGTTCCCTTGATATACCCTTGAAGCATATACAAAGCTCGATACCACACAACCAATGATGCAGGAATCAGGTTCCCTTGAGATTGCATAAGATAATCTTCGTAAGGAGCTCTAGTTCCAACGAGTCTCGTCTCTTGGCGAGCCCTGCTTGAGGTCATATTTGCTTTTGAAACTACGGTTACACGTTTACCGCTTGCACGTCTATGGGGACTATGGAGGTCCAGCCCTTTACGGGTCCAAGTACCGAAACATTTGAAACACCATTCAGATCATCGTAGTTGGGACGTAGAATGCTAAGGTCCTTGGATCCTGTGACAAAAAATGACATGGATGGTTGTCAAAATTATGGTCCCTTTTTGGATCCCTATTATAGTACGGCGCCTAATATTTAGGGCCCCCAAAAAGGGACCATAATTTTGACAACTACCCACATGAATTTCCAGGCAAGAAGGTGGCCTCAGCCAGCGCTGCTGCCATGAGCTTCACATCCTCAACAAAGCACTGACGGCAGGTTTCTCTAAAGAGCGGTTCCTTCCAGAACCCGTCAACTACCTCTAAGTGGGGGGTCTATGTTAGTGCTACTATTTCGTGGAACTTTTAGCTGTTTGGAGGGTTCTTGGGGGGATCTAGGCTAGGCCCCCCCAGGGATATGTGGAGATTCAACACGGAGTACTGGATCCCACTGAGGGTTGTATAGGGGTAAGTCCATTCTGATAGGGCCGGGGCCCGTATGAGCAGTGCTGTTCTTCTGTGAAACTGTTTCCTTGTCACGAGGAATTGTTCTACAGACTTTGTCTTGGCTATCCTATAGACCTTAAGTTGCTACCCTGAATACATGCCCAGATCAGCCCAGGCACTCTGAGGCGCAGTGGCTCCACCAGGCCCTGCCGGATGCGTGGCTGGGGCTAGTGGACTAGCATTCTGTAGGTTCGTAGGAAAGAAGGGAATCTGTTATATAGGTATAAGGATTTTCGTTATTGGCAACTAACGACCAGTAAGCTAGGCGGATGGGGTCTGAAGGGTCGGGCCTCGGGGGCTGAGGATTTACTTTTTGGAAAAGATGCTTCGCGTTTAAGCTTGTGAGACTTGCAAGCTTTTGGGGCTTGAGGCTTGAAACTTCTAGGGCTCGGGGATGGAGTATCCTGTCCGAGGGAAATGTGACACAACAGGATTGATTCACAAAATCTTTCGGCTGCAGCTCGCAACAAAAACTCCACCTGAAGCTGCCTGCGGCCAGGGTAGCGTACGGTACTTTACAGAAAGGTTCGCCTCTTGGACCCCCAAATGGGGGACTCCTGAAAGGGGATCGCAGTTTTTGGAAACTCCCATATCTACTGCAAAACCCGTATCAAAGCTACTGCACTCACAGCACCCCCAGCGCCTCCCTTGCCGCGACTTTCCGCTCCTCCTCCATGAGCGCGCGCCTGCGGGCAGGGCTTGCAGCGGGCATGCGTGTTGGATTTTCTAAAATTGGGTCCTTAAAGACACACTAATCATCAGGAAGATGGCAAGGGGATTGTGGAGTCCACTTTAAACAGCCTCTGCACCCAGTAGTTACTATCTAACCCAAAGATCCCCGCATAATTTTTCTGTACATCCCCCTTAACCTTACTCAAAACTAATCCCATTGCCCCTAGCAAAATCCCCACAAACCACCCTAATAAAAAGTAAACCAATTACTACATAGTGGTACTACACCAGGTGAGTGGGGGGAAGCTTATTGTGAGGAGGCGATTACTCAGGAACATACTATAATCCACTGCGCAATCCCAGTTTCTGTGGCATTTCCAATTGCCTTGGCAATTCGATCCTCCATTGTTACCCAACCGCTTATCCTGACATATTCGGCGAATCGGGCAGACGCCGACGAGCGCCCACCTGCACGGATGGCCCTAGCAAAAATCCTGACAACCCGAAACCCTACACCCTAAACTTAAAGCCAATTCCTACATGTCGGGGGGCACTTTTTTTGGGGGGGGGCCTGCTAAACCCTAATCTCTAAACCCTAATCCCTAAACCCTTAACCCGCAATCTTTCAAGCGCACCTGGCAGGTTCCATCTCCTCCCCAGCGAGGCCTCAGGATCCCAGAATGAAGGGATTCGGGTTTAGGGTTTAAGGTTTAGGGATTCTGGTTTAGGGTTTAGGATTCAGGGCCCGTTCAGAGACTATTTGGGGTTATATATGGGTGAGAAGACGGAATGGAGAATCACAAGGAAATTGAGTCGCACAGCACTTAACATGAGGCAACACAACCTCCAACCCTGGAACAAGGAGCAAGTAAGATTCATGTCAACCCTAAACCCTTAGCACTGGGGGTAAGCAACATCCCCTGCTCGAAGGAAGATGCCATCTGTCTCAAAAGGTCCAAGTACCCAAACAATCCAAGCAGTATAAAGGATTTAGGTTTTTGGGTAAACGCCCTTAATAAGTCTAGGGGACCCGTCTGGGCCCTATGGGTATTTGGAACCCTAGGGTGTGGCTTGAGATTCACTGCCCCACTGTGCAAACATGGGCAGTTTTCAAAATTGGGGTCCCAGATCTGTACTCCACAATGCTAGATACCGTAGAATAACTGGCATTGCTAGGCTAGCAACAGTTTTGACAGGAACCCAGATGTGAGCGTCGACGTCTTTGGCTCTTAAGGCCCGCAGGCCACAGCCCCACAAAAAGTGCGGAGCTTCTGCGCTGACGCAATGCACTGACTTTGGTGCATGCGCGCGGGGGTACATTAACAACAGACTGGAGGTTGAAAATGATCACATTTTGTGATCAAACCTCAGGTCTTGAAAAGTCGCTCGTAAAGTACAAGGTATTCTGGGTAGATCTGATCCTTGTCGTACACGATTATCTCTCGGTAGGGCTTGCCCAGTGTCTTCACCCGATCACCGAAAACAGAATGATACGGGCCATCGAAGACCTCTCTCTTTAGGCGGTCCTTGTCGATCTCGTTTGTCTCAACGACCTTGCCGGCAGGGTGACAGTGGCTTGGGGTCTACTAGTTGCAGGTTGGACTGCTGTTTTGCCTTAGGGTTTAGGGTCCCAATGTTTAAGAATTAAATGGAACATAAAATGAGCAATGATGCGGAAACTGGGAAGAGATATAGTCCCCCTTAAGCAGATCGATTATCGGGTATATGGGGTTCTTATTATCTTTCTATACCCAAGGCCATATTCTATCTATTTCAGGGGTTCATAGGTCAAAGCTAAGTGGAGGCAGCCCAATGGTCTGAGAACTGGCTTTTCACCTTAATATAATGGTTTCCATGTGATTGTCCATTATCCCAATTTAACCGCAATATAACTCGAATAGAACCCAAAATATAGCCCCTACATAATCCCTATATACACGCTATATAATCCAGCTTTCCGTGAGCTGCACAACAGCAAGTGCCATCTTTGTCGGGTCTCTACTAGCCATACTTGTCGCTTCGCGCTGCATGTCAACAAATGGTTTCATAAACGAAGCCACATACTGTTCAGATGTTTAGGGCCTTTGGGGGAACATCCCGATGAACAACTAGTAGCTAATGCTCGGTGGGTATACGGCAGTAGTCTGAATCAGCGTTGCCTACGAAACCGGAGGGCACCAAAGCCTTCTTTGTTGATTACTTGAATGCTATTTGGTCAGCGGCAGCCTCCTCTTCATTAAGTGGAGGACAAGGTTGCCGAGTTGAAGTGCCCAAGTTTCATATCTACTTCCTCGGAGCATTCAAGTAGCTTCCCAGTGACAACAAGTGATGATCACCATCGGAACAACCTTGACTAACATGACTTACTCTGAAGACATAATGAGGAAGATGAGAGAACTTGAATTTCATGATTTCTGAGCTGTTCATAATATACTCTTCTCCAAGAATTATTGTTTCATCCGCGTTTTGTCAAAGCGATGACACCGAGAAGAACGACTGCTCTATAGTGCCTTCTTCTCGATGACTATTCATCCATTCTTTCTTTTTCGGGTTGCAATGAGGGGAGGGGTAAGTGTAGTAAGTGTAGAAATCGCCAGAGGGCATTGGAGCGACCGCCGACGCAGCGCACCACCAGCATGGCATGGAGACCGGCGTCCTCCTTTCTGGAGTCGATCTTCAGGAGTTGAATATTATAGTACAAAATATACTTGATTATACCCTTCGAGCTTTTATGCTAGCTCAATCTGGGGGCTCGTAAGTCTGGGTTCCACGGTCATGGATGTTCACAGCTTAGCGCCATCAGCCCAGGGGCTGCAGGGGGCAAGGGATAACTTAAGGGCTTCAAGGGGACCAGGTAAGGTACAAACAGGCCTACAGAAAAAGCCATGCATTGTGCTTGTTTGAGTCTACTGTAGCACACCTGTATTTCGTGTTGATTTACTTAGGCTTTCTTGCGCCCTCATTCTATTTCGTAGGTGTTATTAGCCGGTGGGGAGGTTGATTGTCCCCACAGCTTGGTGTCATCGTTACGGTAGATTCCCAGGGCACCCTCAAATAGGATAGACGCCCCTAGAAGGAACGTTAGAAGGCATTTAGAACTTGGAACCATTAGAGGGTCTTTCCTATGTTGGGGCCCCTGCGGATCGACCTGAACCTCGGCATCATGGAGTTGCTACTCACTGTTCTTCTACGCCCATAATTCTTGTGGACTCTTTGCTTGAGTACTGAGTACAGAGAACACCTTAGTCTAAGGGAAGGACATCCAGATGCAAAAAATGAAATGCATAGGAGACCTTAAATCCTCAACCCGGAACCACCTCAAAAGAACCTTTAAATCATGAAGCTCCTCGCTGTCGGGTAAGGGGTCGGCATACTCGTCCGACTTGGTCACCATCTCCTTCTGAGTCTGATGCATAGTGGGTTTGGATGTGGGACTGCTAAAGAGACATTAGACCTCTTAACGCTCAACCATACACACGTCCTCCAAAGTTCGTTGGGTTCCAAACCGCCCAGATCTTTAAGTCTCCAAACGTGTAGCCCTCAATCATGCCTTTTTGGATGAGGAAGCATTACAACCTTGATGGCGATTGCACCCTCAACATCATTGTCGTCATCATGTTCGTGACGGGGGCAGGCAAATTCTTCACGCTTCACCGTTCCTTTTTGCCCTTTGATCTTGATTGCTATGCGAACCCTGACCCTGACTCATTCAATCAAGCATCAGGGAGGCGAACTTAGTCAGGGGCCCCAATGCGATTCCTGCCATGGAGCCTACCCAACCTAAACTGGTTTGCTGTTACGGATCTTAATTGAAATCACCATAATGGGTGTGCATATGTGTATATATATATATGGTATGATTAATATGGTGTCCCCAGTATACTTACCTATATTGAGTTCCTTAACAGTAGCCCAGTAAGCCCTAAACCCTGGCCTAACTCTTGACCCTACCCTCCCGGGCTGTCCGCAAGGTAGATGCCAAAGCCGTACAGCGGGGAGCCCTTGGGTTCGCCGGGTTCTTTCCAGGTGGCGCCAGTGCCTGACGCAGGCTTAAGGGTTTAGCGTTTAGGACTTGAAGTTTAAGGGCTCAGGAGAATCTACTTTCTAAAAGGGAACAGCTGTGGCAGTAGTCTTTAAAGGAATTCTAAAGTTGCTGTCGCTTGCGTGGACCGGAAGCTTCGGATTCTTTCATCAGAAAGCCTGTGGCCTAAGGTGCTACGAGGCCCACACCGGCATCATAACTCTAGCTGTGTCAGAGAACAGGCTCGCAGAACACACATGCGGTAGAAAAACAGGATTGGCTCCTATTCTTGCTACTCCTGTTCCTGTTGCCACACCGATGCCGACGCCGGTTTTGTTGACACTGCCAATGCGATGGCTGACGAATACGCCGCCAACCACTACTTGGAACAATCCAAAGGTTGCTAGGCTTACTAGCGCCCTGAACCAGCGGCTAGCCTGAGAGGGCCAAGCGGAAATTGCTGCCGCAAATCCCCCGCGAGGCATCAACATTGGTGCCGTGGAAGAGGCGCCATTCATTGCAACTTCCAGTCCTTTGCGCCAAGGGTTCCAGAGCTGTACCCCTGAGGTCATATCCATATCAAATTTGCAAATACGGACACAATACATAGACCTTACATGCTTTCCTCAGGGGCCCTAAATGCTTGATCTTATGAAAGAGCCAGTCAACTGGCAACCAACATTTTACTACTAGGCGAGGATACAAGCACATTGCATCATGGCGAAGAACAACTTCTGCAGATTGGCTAGGATTGAAACTGGTTGCTGGACACGCCAAGCCGGTAATGAAACTAGGACGTGTCCTCGTTCTGCTACGGCCGATCCGGCTAAACCCTTGCATTCCTAGGAGGGTTGCTTCTGCTATTGCTGCAAACAAAGTCCATAACAGTGCTGAATTCAACTTGTCGACATGCCAGCTTCGACGGTCACGTCCGCGTGCACGGAGATGGAGGAAAAGCTTGAGTCCTCCACGCACTCGCTGCTGATGGAGTTCCGCATCAGAACCTTGCTGCTTGTGGTCGGTAAGGGTCTATGGGCTTTCCTATCAGGATTTTGTTCGAATCACATGGCCACATATGGCCCCAAAAGGTCTCCGAATGCTTCTACCCTAGAGGATTCAACTCCTTGTCTGCGACTGGGATCCTCCACACGGGTCTTTACACTTCGTGCTGGAATCATAAACTCCCAAACTGAACTTACTAGATGCTGCACTGGCTGGTAGCTGCTTGGGTAATGCTGTGCTGCAATTCATTGGAAGGACAAGGATGGGTTGTCAGTTAGTACGGGTAGCGCTCCCCGTAGACAGGCTCGAAAGCAAGTTCTCCCGCCAGTGGTCACTTGCACCTGTTGGGACGGCTCTATGAGAAGCCGAGGAGCATAATGCTTCCACAGATCCAGATTCTGGTTTCGGAACACCTGCAGAGGAATAGAACCACAAACAGTTGAGACCCCTGCGCAGTCTGACTGCATACCCGAATCTCCTGCCAACTTTGTGTGGGCGTTTAAGAGCTTCTAGCTGGGACAACCAAAGCACACGCCCCTCAAGGTTTGATCTTTGCCTTCTTGACGACGAAGCCCTTTGGGACTCGGTGGCCATTCTTGCGGAGGCAGGCGCCATCGCACCTAGGTGTGCATGTAGGCAGACAGATACAGCAGAGTCACCACCTTCTACAGTCTACACACGCAGCTGCCTGCATACTTAAACTTCAGGACCCTGCAGTGCTGCTGCACGCAGCTACCAAAATCACAGTTCAGTCCAACCACATCAGATTATGAAGAGGCCAGAATTGCAGGGCTTCTAGATCTCAGATCTGTCCAGAGCCGTAATCGAGCTTCCCCTCCTACATCCCAACTCCAAATCTAATGTATTGAAGTCCCAACAATCCCCGAACTCGAAGCTCCTCAACCTTAAGCCCCCCTCACAAGCCGCGTGGCTCTGGGTGGCTTCGGCCGTGGAGACTGCAGCCGCGGTCCCGAGTCCAGTTGTCGCTGGTCTTGTGCGAATGGTTGAAGAGCTCCTTGCTGCAATGGTGCGGTGCTGCGTGCGGTGCTGCAGAGCCCGACAACATGGACAATCCCAGCAGGTCGTCATGTTGCCCAAAATACTAATAAGCTTTGGGGGAGTTCCATTTTGGTGGGGCGGTGGCGCGGCGGGGCCCGGGTGGCCCCGGTGGGGTCTGATAATGATAATGAGAGCAACGACAACAAGATGCTTGTCCAAAGCCCGCACCTGCATCTTGCTGATGACGTCGTCATCTTCGACGTTCACCAACCCGTTCAGCAAGGAACCGTCATCAGAAGTCCGCCAGTGCTTTAGCGCATCTTCCCCGATGGAAAAGACATCCGCAATGGACCTGCCAAGCTGCCGATTCTCTGGTGCTACACAGACTTGTTCAATGAATGCTTAGCCTACACTGTCCCGCTATCTACCTGCAGTTTTGCACGCAGAGATCGACAATGAACATCTTCAAGGAGTTGTTTGGGAAAATGGTCAGCAACGGGACATTGTTGTACCTGCTTTTCCCATTCTCATCCCGCATCCCGGCAAGACAGACGGTAACAAGTAGTCATCTAAGTCATGGCTCATTACCTACCAATTCATTGCAGGCTAGGAGAAGAATCGGCCGGCCCGAATCACAGCCAGCTGAATCTTGGCAGCTTTACAGGGTAGCAACGTAGTGAGATCTGACAAAGGATGTCGTGAGCTAGTTTGAAGTGCATTTAGGCGTGGGCAGTTCTCCAGCTAGTGCCCTATGTGCTCCAAAGCCCCTGGTGCCACCCTGCCTGTGTGCGCTCTCCTTGTGACCGCACTCGCAGAGTCTGCCAGACGCCACGGCAGAAAACTCTGCGCAACCTGGTTGGAGGGCATGGCTTAGTCTCAAAAATGTGGGCCCAGATTCGATTCCCTCTATACCGTTCCCGGGTGCAAGATCTGCACCCTGCTTTTTGGAGCTGACCCGCGTGACTCACTCAACCATTGGCACCGGGCGGGCTTGGGCTACCGAAGATGTGATAATGGGATCCTTGAAGGGTCTTTCTTAGTGTCAGCATGTCCAGCCAGGTGCGGCGATGCCCTGTGCGCAGCCCATGACAGCTCAGCGCTTTCCCCGGAAAACTTGTCTGCTTTCATGCAGCAAGCGCTGTGTCGTGTGTTCCTGTTTGAATCTACAATTGCCCCGTTGAGGTAGAAAAAAGCAGCTTCTGTTTCCAAACAACTAATGACAGGAGTGCAACTATGTTAGCAGTGGTGTGGCAAGAGCGCTATGCATAAAAAGCTTACGAATGATCATGGTCGCGATATCCGTACTGACAACAAATCCTAGTGCTGAGAGCGTCCCCCATGCTACCCACGAGGACTGCTACAATGACCATCATTTGGGCCTCAAATGATTCAAAGAGTAAGGTGGACGACTAGTCATCGCAAATTCCTGATGAGCACAACCCTGATGCACAGAAACGTTCAACCTTGCAAAGACCGGAACCCAGTCACAGCCACACCCATTCTTCATCCCAGTCGCTGCAGGAATGATCATCGTCTTCTCTACTGCGGAACCTGTCTTCGGGCTACCAGGAATCAATGAGCTCATCCTCAAAGGTACATCGTAATTGTTTGGTAAGTAGCAAAAGGCAGATGCATATCCGCTAGGTAGGTATATTACAAAACACGCGTGTTCATGTCCAGTCTCGGTTAGTGCGGGGGGCGCCCTCCATGCGAAACTTTGCCGAAATTGCTCAGCACCCCTGAGTCGCTTACGGGCCCTGACTTGTGGCAAGTTGCGCGGTCTAGTTGTTTTTTCGGTGGCGGGCCTACAGATTTCAACTAAAACCCTTTTACCTGAGCTACCGAGCCAGCAAACCCTCGTCCTATTGAACTCAAGTCAAAACTACGACATGAACATGTTGTGGCGAGGGCCTCCCCCCTACACCGAGTCGGGTTCCGTTTTTGGGCCTGGAGGTAACATTAAGGAGGCCTCAACATTATCCAAATAGTCGCAAGTAAACAAGAGACAAGAGGACATTACCTGGTTATGACTGGAGTTTTGCCTACCTTGCCTGTCCCAGTTCAGGAGGTGCAGACCTTGCTCCTGTACATCCCGCAAGAAGACTGGGCCTACATCCGGGGCAAGCAGAATGTGGTTGGGGAATCTGTTGAGCTAGCTAGATCCAGAGGCCTATACGATGAAAAGGGTAGGGTTTACGGGTACATTAAACTATGTTATGTTATGCTGCAAGTATGTAAGGACAATGAGGGGATAATGCCCCTGAGTATTCTGGTTTCCGGTTTTGCGGACTTTTGGGCTGAGGATGCTATCGTGGTAGGTTCCGAGGCTTACTATCTGGGAGGTCAGGCTGCAAGAGGTGCTGGCCCGTATAGGTACGATTCAAGCAGGCATTGGCCCAGGTGAAGCATAGGCCGGGGGCTCTGCTGTCCTTTGGCACGTGGCGCATTGGTGGAGATCTGTCTGAAATTCCAATCATAGCGGCCCTGCTTTCACCAGATCCGCAGGCAATCTGGGCGCTGTGCAGTGGGGCTTTTGGGGTGCCTTATACAGCCACGCAAAGATAATATCAGAACAAGTTGGAGCAGCACTTCTCTGAGAGCAACGGAAGTTTCTGCACAAGGGTCCAAGGGAGCAGAAGACACAAGCTGGCCCACAACACCAGCTCGAAGTCTATGCCCCGAACTGCAAACTGCAATGCAAGCCACAACTGAGCCGATTCCAGCGGTTTGAGCCGTCTTGCCAATATCTTACTTGTCGTTAGTAGTAGGGAATGCAGGAACGGATCTTCATACGCCCCTATACACATTCCCCTGCGGCGTGGCAATTTCAACTTTCTTTACCGTTACCTCAGCCCCTGCTAAGAACCAGTGACCCATTCAGCACGGTGGCAGCTCGTGCAAAACTTCAATTTTCTGAGGGATATCAGGGAAAGAAAGAGTGGAATCGGGATGCCTGTTGGGCGTTATATGGGTGGAGCTATGGAAAGTCCTTGCTTCAATTGCTTACTAGCTACCGTACCAGTACATCCTAAACCCAAGCCTTAAATCCTAAACCCTAAAAATAGATCCTAAATCTTGAAAGCTGAAATCCTACATCCTAAGCCCCAAATCTTTAACCCTAAACCCTAAAAGTCACATCCTATACCCCCCAACTGCAAAAAAAGGAGCTGACAGGGTCTGGACTGGCCGGCCTCACTCAGGCCTCTCACAATTGCCGGGACTTTAGTGGACGGTTTAGGGAGTATACAGGGTCATAAAGGGTTTATGTAGGGATTATCTGGGGAACACAAGGTCATAAAGGTTTATGTAGGGATTATCTGGGGAAGTTACCCCAAGTATGGAGATTCAAATGCAAAATCACACAGAACATGAAATGGTTACTGCTTTTCTATAGGGCCCTATCGGGGCTTGCAATAACAGCGTCACCCAACCCCTGAAATCAGGGCGGACTTCTAGTCATGTGATAATTATGACAGGGGTTTGAAGCTCTAAGGATTCCAGGATTTCGCGAGTTGATGAGAATTGGGTGTCCTGCGTGTCACAGCCTCATTGTGCCCACCTTTTTATCGGCTCACATGACACATGATCTTGGGTCATGGCCTGTCGTAAACAAATTTAAGCCCACAGAGACGCTCTACATTGCTTTCATGAAGACAGAACCCTCAAGCTCAACCTCAGCATCTCTGTCTGCATGTGTGCAATCTGTGAGAGACAATCGACAGCAAGCTTTAAAAACAAGCCCATGTCTAGATCAGCCACGCAACAAAAGGTTCATCCTACTACTCAAGGGTTCCTGGGTTGTACTCCTAACGTCGTCCCCCTAGAAGGTTTTTTCAATATGGCCCCAATGTGGCCCTTACATGAACCAATGTAATTCAATAGAGTTCCTTCAAAGGGTCTGAAAACCCAGGGTTACAACCTTAGGGGTGCAAGCCTGAAACCCTTGAACTACCCAACCAAGAAACAATTTCCCTAAACCCTATGGACGCTAGGCCACCAATTCCCCAACTTCCCTCCCACCGGTCTTCTCAATTCTGTACCCAAAACGCATAACAGCTCAGCCCCTCAGTAAACGGATATCCCCAAAAAAACCTGCAAATAATGAGAGAGGCCGCACCCCATTAGCAGAAACACACCCTGCACAATCCATATCTAACGGCGAAGATTCGGAGCGAAGGTCACGTAAAGACAACAGCAACGATCATAGCAGTGATCGTACTAGTCTTCTTCATGGGAATTGCTATTCTTGACATAACGCTAACCCAAATGGACTCACGGCCCAAGCCTATGAACTTGAAGCCCTAAACCTTGGCAAGCCCTAAATCCTGAAGCCCGAAAGCCCTGAACCCCAAAGCCCTAAACCCCAGAGCCCAACATCACCCTAAACCCAAAGCCCGACATCACCTAAAGCCCTAAACAGTAAAGCCCTAAACCCCGGCCTATGGGCATGGTGCAGCGCTGCGTGGCCCAGCTTGCGAAGCGCGAGAAGTTGACGTAGCCTTGTATCTAATGGGTTTAGGCTTTCAAGGTCTAAGCCCGAGGTAAGTAGACGCCCTATAACATGTATATATCCTGGGGATCCAAAGAGCCCAATGTAGGTAATATACATAATTAGACTCCAGGGCATTCTTTGTGTACTTGGATCCCTAGGGATATGCGTATGTATACATACATATATATAACTATACACACACTTGCCAAAACAAGAACAACTATCTCAAATGGGGTTCTGAGGAAATTGTCGAAGGCAGTGTCCCCACCTGCGGATACATAGGGCCTCAAGGGCTTGCAGAAATGGGGATTAGATAGAAAAATCTAAGGTTTTTGGGTTTAGGGATTGGGGTTTAAGGCTGAGGGTTTCCACAAATCAGGGTTATACTACCCCCCAATAATGGAGAACCACATGGAAAAGAATATGGAAAATGAAATGGAAACTGGGATTGCACAGAGATTTCTATGTATGTGGATTTCCCATAATGAGGGGTACTATTTGGGGTTCCACATGGTAAGGACCATGGTATTTGGGGTTCTATTCCGGGGTCCCCTATTTTGGGACGCCACCGAATGTTCTTGGGATTGCCAGAAAACAGCTGTTGAAAGTAGAGTCCCTTTCAGGGACCTCAACTATGGGAGTTTCTCGAAACTTTTCAGTATGGTCTTGAAGGGGGATGAATGAAATCCTTGTATGATCACTATCCATACGGTCCCAGCCGGTAGCCCTGTTGAAGACATTCCTTATTGGCACAGCATAGCCTTCCCAACGACGGGTGAGAAGATTGACAACTGCACGCCCAAAATTTACAACAGCACAGAAGACGTAGCAACCAACCGTGGCAGTGTTAGTCATACAATGTGATAAACATGCGAGTCGCCATAAATCAGGGGGCCCAACATACACCCAAATACAATGCAGCCCTTATTATACTGTAGGAACTCCCAGAATTGTAGTCTCCTTGGACCTATAAAAATAGTATGTTCAATAATTCCTTAGGGTTATACTATAACAGAACTTGAAATCATTCCTAAGGATACTACAGGAAAGGGACCCTCCCCCCATTCTGGAGAAACCCTACACGTTGCTGCAGGCCCGCTACGACATGAGAGTAAAATGAAGGAGGCCAGGTCTATTGTAGGCGTTTAGGGTTTAGGGCTTTGGGTTTATGGTTAAGGGGTTTCGGATGTAAAGAGTAACATAAGAAGTAGTTAAACCAAGGGGGTTAGAACAATTATACGGCTATAGGGATATTACGACAGCAATTAGGCATTGAAAATGCAGTGGAAACTGGGCTGGTACAGGGACTTTATTTGTAAAGCTACAAAGATTGTGGTCCTCGCTGTTTGCATATATATATATATTCTACTAATCATATTTCTGCAGGCTGCTACGGTACAGCACCTAGAGCCAACTCATGTGAAAACCATCTGCTGATCTACTGGCACATAGTAGCTGATTATAATCCCCATTGTGGAAGATCATTTCATCTACAGACGGCCTGAACATTTCCCCAAAGGACCTTCAGATTTCCGTCCACATGCCATTGAACAGCATAATCCTTAGCAGCGACACTACGGATTCTATCGCGTCATCGTTTCTTGTCTAGCCTCTCCCTGGAGACACGCAAAAGTCTTCAAAAGTCGTGAATTGCAGCGCTTAGCTGTTTGGCCTCTCATGGGATTTGATTGACTCTTTTACAGGTGGCCCCGGAAAAATGTAAACACCTTGTCTTTTTTGCCACAGCTCTTGCCATGCGACTGTTCCTGTATCGCTGTCCATCATTATGACAACCACTGCAATTCATGAGAGAACTCTGGCGTCCTGAGTCCTAACCTTTCAAAACCCTCAAAGACTACAATCCCTAAACTTTAGGCGCTAAACCGGTTCAGTTCCAGTGCTGCACAAGGGCCGGTGGCTGTGCCGCCCGCCGCCTCCCACTCAGTGTCCACCAACTCCAGTCCTTCAAGTGGAGTCAGGGAGCTTCTATAATGAGGATTCTAGTAAAATATTTGGTGGCCTATTCAACGTGTGGAAATGCCACGCCACTGATGGTCAGAAACATGTGGTCAAAATGGTTCTCACGGTAGTGCGAGCTGCGAGGGTCATAGCTGCAAACACGGAGACATGCAGCACACTTGGGATGCTTTTCAAAGATCAGTATTGCTTTGCCGTCCATCCACGTCCTCTGCTTTCAAATCCGGTGGACAAGTTGGCATGAATTCGGTCTAACCTTAAACCTAACGGTTTAGGTTCAACAAGTTTAGGGTGTAAAGGCTTGTTTGCTGAAGAGCTCAGTCAGCCAACCCTGCCCAGTCCTGAGTTGTCCATGCTGCAGTACTCGAAGGTTTGGGCAAACTCTTCCTGCCAAATGCAGCGAATTTCAACTATTTCTTGAGGGGCGTCACAATTTGTCAGAGTTCAGAGCGAAATGTTGACTGCAAGGCCACTGCAGGGCTGCAAGTGGTAGATCTTGGCTGTTGCAACCCTGGATAAACTTTCAATACTTTTTACGAATACTTGCTAGGCCCAGAAAAGGCTCCAGTCTGCAGCAGTATTTCTAGAGCGTAAGCCAGAATGCTGATGTGCCAGGCATGCAGCCAAGGTCTTTGAACGCGAGGCTTTCTGCTCTCGTGTGGAGTTGCGGACTCCTCCATCAAGCAATGCCCCCTGAACCCTGAACCTTTCATCCGGCAAGCATGCTGCCACCAAAAAATCGCCAAAAAAATCCCTGCACGCCTTCTGCAGGTAGCCAGACTCCTCTCAGGGATAGGTATGGGTTTGTTAACATATTCCTCCTACATGTTGCGGTTTTCCGTGGTATTTTCAAATGTTGTCGGACAGCCTCATCTACCAGAACAGGCCCGCAGATAATCTTCTTGGAGGGTGCCTTTGAGGCTACGAGTCAGGTTTAACAAGATCGCATAGACATCGGGACTTCGGGAGGGGCCAGGTCTTGGCGCCAAAGATTCCGGCATGAGCACAGCTTTCGGACGATTTAGGGGGGTAGTACTCCTACCGCTGCTACTGTCCTTGCAGCAGCCCTCATCCGCCTTAAACCCAATGTGTATGTGTATGTGTATATATATATATATGTATACACACGCTTACTTTGTGAGACTCCTCTGGATCGTGGAAGTCGAAAAGCTGCAGCAGCGTCTCAAACTGTGGCCGGTTGCTGCCGAACTTCACAAGGCCCTGCCAACACTCTGACATTGAATTGCAAACCTTTTTGCAGGTTCTCGATTTTAACACAGCCTCGAAATTTCGGGATATCTTCGGAGATTTTGTTTCTGAACCTGTCTTCACCTTTGCAGTGTATCGCGACCAGTAGCTTATCGAGGTACTATCATGGGATCCATGATCTTATGCTAGCCTCATGCATCCAGCCCCACTCCTCCAAACTACACACAGTTCAACATCACTGATGTAAGGCAGGGTATTCTTTGATTGTCTCAGACATGGACGGGCAAGGGGGAACGGCACCCCTGAATTGCGAGAACTACTCAAAGAGCTAGATGAGGAATGAGCATAGGAAAGCCTACCTCTGGTGATTTCCGGAGATTGATATCCCAGGCCTATTTCACATCGGGGATCTTCGATGCTAGGAGAAAGCATTCAGAATGGCAATGACTTGAGATAGTATGTTGAAGTCAGAACCTTCTTGACTGCCCACAAGCGGTACTGAGCCAATGGAGGGGTCTTTCTCAAGATGCAATCTCAACCCTTCACGTATTCTCAACTGCGTACCTGCGCAGAATCTGTCCAGCAATGTCGGAGTCATTTTTGTGCTGTCTGGGGAAAGTTTAGGTGGACCCTCCACCCTGTAACGGGGGTAAGAATAGGAATATAATGGGACCCTAACATGATCCTGCGTATCCCTTGTACTCACTATTACTGGGTGGGGGTTCCACCTAAGGTATGGTAGTCTTCAAGCTGAAGGACCCTGAGAGCCTCTGCGGGCCTGGTGGGGCTTCTGGGGCTTTTTGGGAAGGTGTTGGTTCAGGGAAAATGGAAACTACAAAGATTCTGGGAATTCTATAATTCTTTTATGGATAATAGTGATAATAGGCTACATTGGGGTTTGTCTATAAGGAGAATGGAAAAGAAAATGAAACCACTATAATGGATTTAAGGTTTAGCTACTCTTTGCAGACTTCAGTGACCCTTTTGCCTAGTGTTTGGGCTGATTGGAACCCTAAACCCTACGCCCCAAATCCTCGACCCTACACCCTAAACCCCAAACCTAAGCCCTAAACCATCCTAGACCCTACACCCCAAACCCAAGCCCTAAACCCTGCGCCCTAAACCCCCAAACCCTAGACGGTAAGCCCTAAACCTACACCCGAAACCCTAATCTTGGCCCTCTGCGGGGCAGGGGAGGCTCGGGGCAGGGGAGGGAAAATCAACAGGGAGAGGGATCCTATTATTTGTACAAACGTATATACCTATATATTTATATAGCTACATATTTAATTATATATCATATAAGTTCATATCTTCAGATATTTACATATTTATACATATATGTATATGTATATGTTCTTTTGCTTATACACTAGCACCTCCTAACATTTTGGGCATGCAAAGCCTTGCGATAGTTCCGGTCCCCTGGATGCGCGTACCGCTCCAGGTGGGCAGTGCTCCGACGGTAGCATCCGGAGCCGTACCCTGGGCGTGTGTTTGCGTGCTTGCATTGCTTCTGGCCCCCTTTTGCACCTCAGGGTTCAGGGTTTTAGTGGCTTAAGGGTAAGGATGGGCTTAGTAGTGACGATGAAGGGCTGATAAGAATCATGCATAAACACATGATACAAGTTAGACTATTCTACAGGTGTTGGGGTTTGGGGCCTTGGGCAAACTCAAGGCAAGGATGAATCCAAAATTGTCCTACTTACTCAGTCTCTTTCATGGTCCTAATTCACAACCCCACATCGTTTTCCTACTCGAATTGCCATCCTTAACCCAACTACTGTACATGCCATTGTCAAGATGGCTGCAGGCGGAGGAACACAGCCCCGTATCGGGACACCATTCATGATCATAAGTATCTCTTGCACATGGGATTTTGGAATAATGCAGTTGAAAGCCATTTGATGCAACGAATGACAAACAACATTCGGGCACAATTTGAAGAGACCGCAAGGCTTCAAGGCCACAAATTACCAAGATTTACATGTTGTTACCTTCTCATACCTTTTCTTTTTAGCCCCCAAGCACTCACCGTTACAGTCCTCTTTACCAAGTGATTACTTTGTAATTATAGCATGATGTACCCCTAAACCCTTTTTTGATCAATCAGGCCCCTACTCGAAAATACATTTAGTTTTCCGTTTCCGTTTGCAAATGACTCTTCGCTATTCTAGAAGATTACCCAGATATGCGTGCATACGCCTGTGGGCCTATACCCTTTGGAAGAGATTCAATTGTTGCCTGCAAGTTGCGACATGCCTCTCGTCGACAATCCCTGCTGGAAGCTGCCGGGTGCCTTTTAATATAAATTGCTTGGGTTAAGGATTTAGGGCTAAGGCTTTGGGGATCTTTTGGCGCGGATTGGAATCCGGTCTTAGGGCTTAGGAAGTTAGATGTGTTTCGGGGTCCCATTTCTAGGAGAAATTTGCCGGCAGCCAGAATGGCTCAAAGGAAGATGGAGCCCTCAGACCTTGCATTAGGCTCGATTTGCGCTCCCGTGGTGCCTACTGTCCCAACAAGGACTCGTTTGCCACTTGACGGTCTGAGGTATAGGTGTAATGTGTGATTCTCCTGCCTAATGGTTGAGGGTGTTCCATGAAGCCCGACAAGACAGCACAGTCTCTCCATTGCACGTCATTAGCGTGAGGACACAAGCACTGGTGACTGGTAAATGAAGTGCGGATAACGACTCAAGAAGGCCTACCTGCATCCGAGGCTCCAGTACTTCTTCCGGTGTCCCGGCTTCCGGTTGTAGCAGCTCCTGCTGATGAAGTACTGCCAGTTGCTTTGGGGATCTTACCTGTAAGCACCGTTTAGAAAGAGGGCGTCATTGGGCTGTTGAATTCGTTTCGTGGGGTTGCGGTCTGCAGTTCGGGTTCTTAGGATCCTGGCCTGAGATGCGGATCATAAAGGCTGAAGGCAAAAATGCTGCTATATCCGACTGCCTAGGTGAGCTACATGAGACTGGGTCTAACGCGGCACTGCGCAGGATTGAGGACACAGTTGTGGATTAGCTGAGGGTAAGCCTGCAAAGAGTACGATAACATGAATGCAGAAGTCTGATAGTCGAATGCTGAGTACGCTGCTCGGCAAAAATACCGTCTTGCATCTACTGCGCCAGGTGATTTCCAGAATCCACTTCATAGACCGTAGACATAGCTGAGGTATTCGGAGATTGGGGAGGCTTAAGCATGGTGTGCTGGCCAGGTTGCTCCATATTTGCACACACAGCTTAACCTACTGAAAGCATTGTTTAAAGCAATTGCGTCATTCAAGGGCTGTAGACTGTCCCTGCACGTGCAAGGCAACACAGCTGCCCCTGTGGAAGACATTGAGAACCCACAACGAAAGCGGATTGCCAAGCACATCAAACCCAGAAGCTTCGCATTCCGACTTGGGCCCCGCACTTTCCATACCGGCACGGCTCCTAGGAGAAGCTGCTACACAACGACAGGTGCTCTGATTCACGGCTTGAAGGCCTTCACAAACGTGTATGCAACATCGGTAGCAGAAACCTCTCTGATTATCAGAAAACAGATATGTTATATATAAGTTATACCAGTAGGCCTTATTCCTGTGGCATCCTTATCGTGACTACCGGGAAGAAGGTACACCAACTATGACGCATGTGCCCTCACACTGATACCACGGCAAGCACGCCCTGCCAGAACCTCGCTCATCCAAACGTCGAAGGCAAGCAATTCCCTTCCAAGAAGCTTCGGGGAACAGAACACTGCGACTTACATCTGAACATCGCAAACGCGACTAGCCTAATCAGCAGTAAAACCACTGCCCTAACAACGCCGTTCCTTGACGACGACGCCGCCCCACCCCCCACCACAGCCGCCGCCACCACCATGAAGAGGAGCAGCAGAAAAAACAACGGGAAGGTGACGAGAATGCTCAGGACGACGACTACTCTGGCTTTTCCGGAACAGCAGTGATCAAAAATCAAAAGAACCAAGAACAAAACAGCAAAGGCTATAGCAAGAACATGACCAAAACACAGTGGCAATGCTGGTGCTACATCAATTTTCCAGAAAGGATACCACCAAAAGGGCAGCTTCAGAAGCCCCCACCGGCTGCTTTCTCTGTCTATGTTTGGCTCATACTGGAAATTGTCATTATCAGCACGCGGTTGTTGGTACCACAGGGAAAGTAGTCACACGAAGTGCTCGAGCTGCCGCTACAGAACCAATAAGTCATGAGAACACCCACGCTTTAAACTCCAGAATACAAAGCCTCAAAGGACCTTGCGCATCCAGTTGCCCTATGCCCTTCACTTCCACGATTCAAAAAAAAACTCCATGCTCAACAAGTCGCCAGCCCCGGCGGGCATGCGCTGGCCAGGCTCTCGCCTGCGGCCTCCAATTCCTCACTATCGGCGCCTCAGACGTCTGGATTTGGGGTATGCCCTATACCCCAAACTAGCATGAAATCCCAAAAGGGCCCACCGAAGACTGCTGTAGGGGAGTGTTTGCAGTTTGGAGGTTGCAGAGGCTTGAAAAGCCTGCGCAGCCCCATGTAAGCCTAAAAGTAGGCTGTCCTCTAATCATCTTGTACCACATCTTCCCATCCCATATATGAGCTACAGTCTACACTCCTAGTATTCCGCTTAATCACCCCTACAATAGTCCCCTATGTAGTCCCCTATAGAACCCCCCCCTTTAAGGAGTTTAGACTATAGCCCTAATATGGCTCCTACATCAACCGCTGAGCTCACCACTTCCATAGAGCCACTTCACGAACTCCTCGAACTGGATCATTCCATCTCCATTCATGTCTGCAAGCCTTGGCTGAGACTTAATCATTTTAAGAGTTTTAGGGCCTAGGGGATTTTGGGTTTAGGGTTCTAGGGTTTAATTAGGGGTTTAGGGTTTTATTTTCTTTTTGCGGGACCTGTTCTCCACAGCTCGAACGATCCATGGAAATGTCTTACGACACGGCCCTGAGCAGCCCCTCAGTTACCCCTATCAGCAGAGCGCACAGCACTATGCACACTGTACGACCATCGGGACAAAATGTCTACCCCCAACGGCAATAACCGGCTAGTGCTCACTCGCCGGCTTCAGCCAGCCAGGGTTTTGGGGTTTATGAGTTAGGGTTTAGGGTTCGGGGGTTTAGGTAGGATTTTTGGGGGACTCTCTACAGATCTACGTCAGGACCCCCCATATGTGCGGAAACCGTGTGTATTCCTGTTGTGCATCGCAGTTTGGAACCCCACTCTACCAACCATTGCAATCACCTTGATTACGTAAGCCTAGCATCCATGTATGCCAGGTACGGTTGACGGACAACGACCTGTATGAACCTATGTACCGCTTCAGTGTACGTAGGGTCAAGCAATATTGTCCATTACAGGTATCAGTCCAAGCATTCAAGAATGAATCGCATCCAACCATTGAAGTGCGACAGCTCAGTTGCTGGACATTCTGATACTCTTGTTGTTTCCGCAGCTGTTCTTGCCATGCTTACTGAAATGTCACAACTGCTAGGGTGGCACCCCACCCAGGAGTCCGTCTCTGATATTAAGAACGGTTTACGCTTTAGGGCATCAAAGTGCATACTAACATCGATGGGCACAGCATGGCACAGCACTCAGGCTAAGCACTGCAGGCAGCCAAACTACCTACAGCTCCTTGAAACCCTCAGCCCTACATCCCTACAAAGCTTGTTTCGTAAGCAGGTCCAGAAGCTGGATGAACTCATCGATTTCGCCGGCACCTCTGCCGGCATGGTGCGTTGGCACACGGCAATTCCACAGATTCTGCCAGACCACACTGGTGATGGCACTGCTACTCGTATTCTCACAAGTCGGACTAGTACAACTATGAATTTCAATGACATCATCTTCCTTACCAGCCCATGAAAGATAAACTGCATCATTACCGCAAGAGACATGACTCTGGGCTGAGGTTCGCACCCCACTTGGCACCGTCCAATGCCGAGAGCAAGAGCTCGAGCTCCTGACAGCGCTGCTGCAGAACACGCCACTGCTAGCATTACACGACAAGATACTATTAATACGCACTGCTGCTGATTACCACAGATCTTCCTGTTTGTCCTACAGCGGTGATATCTATTCATGTATTCTGAGAGCAGACCTATTGGAGATGCTACGTCACCGCTGCTGTGTTTGCCTGATATGCTGCTTCTCAGATGCTCATTTGCAAGTCTGCCAGCCTCCCGCGTGATGGATCCGTCACCATCCAGATCAAAAGCCTTGCGCAGCAGCAAATTGAAGTCCTGCTTCAACAGTAAGCTCATGATGGGACTAGGCGTCACTGCAACTTAGTAGCTACGCCATTAATTTAGTTGCCAGTTAAATCTACTGGCCCTGTCAGTCGCAGTTCACCACACGATGTTCTCTGATTTTTAGCACCAGGAATTTGTTTAAACAAGTCGGAAAAAGTGGACTGAATCTCAAATGTCGACACAGGGATGCGAGCGCGATCATGAACTCTACCCAGACCTTCTCCATCATGCGAACGCAATCTCTAAAGGGGCAGTAAGATCAGTAAGGCACCTGAACCAACCACCTCTCACTTTACCAGGAACTCATTCAGGGTATGGTTTCTCTCATGTTCGATTGGGGGTTTCCAAAGATTAGCGGGCCCATCTGGCGTTTCCTACAGTAAGCACTACACTATGAAACTCTCATCTGAACTATAGTCTAAACTCCTAGTATCCACCTTAATAACCCCTATAGTAGTCCCATATATAATCCCCTATATAACCCCCCTTTAAGGAGTTTAGACTACAGCTCATCTGGAGTCCGGGGCTTCATGCCGGCAAGCCTGGAAGATGCGGAGCATGCGCTCCGTGCCCGCGTCCATGGCGTGAGGAAGCGCAGGGCGGGGTCCCCGCGAGGAGATGGAGGGGGTTATCAGACTCCGCGTACAAGGTCCAAGCTTTAGGGTTATCAGAATTATGTACCCTAAACATTGTAGGGGCTGTATTATACTAGCAAAACCGCAAGGGGACCAAAAGGATTCTGCTAAAATATGAATCCTCTTAAGTTGAAACTGGGGCATTCCTGAATGCGCCTGCCCCACTCTGCTCCTCAAGCTTCCGTGATCCCCTAATCGGTGGTTGAAATGTCCTGGGAGACGCCATCTAGTTGGAAGTCTTTCCTAAGCTAGGCGGAGGTCCAATTTGCCACCCTGAAGTGAAATTTTCATGTCGACTGCCCCGCTTCAGGAAGCAAACTAGGCTTGATGGTCTGGGCTTTGGGTTCTGAACGGTTTAGGGCTGAGGGGTGTTTAGGGTTTGCGGGCTGAGGGTGGGTTTTTAAGGGTGGAGCTGGGTTTCCAAGACCGGCTCAAAAGTCGCGGAAGCGGGCACATGACAAAGCAATCTCCCAAGTGTGCAAACAGAGCTTGTTGCATAGCTCCTTCTACGCCTACGCTGTACTCCACAAGATATCATGCTGAGGCGGTATTTACGAGCAAGGTTGTCTGTTAGTTGAGCCCTGCGCAGCACCGTAGTCCCTGTCACACTGACACCATGAAGATCCTTCTTCTATACTTACAAATTCGCCATACACCACAACGCCGGACAAGAATGCAGAGCGGAACTGTTCAATAAAAGGATTCTGGCAACCCCACCCCCTAAAATGAGGGGTTGGGGCTGCCACAAAAAACCTTACTCAACAAAGAGCTTTCTATAACCTCCCTTAGAACATGTCATGTTCCGTCTCATCCTCCATTTTTGAGCATGGCCCTAAACCGAAAAATTCTCCCTTTTACAAGCTCTGAGGAT